ATTAGATGGAATTGTAATGTGCATGAGGTCAAAATGAAATGTGCAGCACAAATGGTACGATACAGTGACATTATGTGAAGTTGAATTGTGCATTAGGTGAAATTGAAATGTGCACTAGGTGAAACTAAAATGTGCGAAATAAAAGGGACGATTTGATGTTATTTTTGTACCTTTTATTCCGCACATTTCAATTTCACCTAATGCACACTTGAGTTTAAATTCTAATTCCGCACATTTCAATATCATCCGATGCATATTTCAGTTTCACCAAATGCACAATCTAGTTCCACATAATACAATCCAACGGTCTAGATTCATTCTCATTTCTCTCCCGGGAGTCCGTTCTTACCGGAACCGCTCCCTATATATACATGGGATGGTTCAAATACAAAGAGGTCTTCCCATGCAAAGTGAGAATTAATCTCGTGCAATTTCGTAATTAAAACGAAGTTTTTTGCCATCGCGAAAAAGTGCAATAGAAACACACAAAAGTGCAATGCGGTGAAGAAAAAGTGCAATCGTTCGCACTTTGCACGGGAGAACCTCTTTTTATTTGATCTCTTCCATATATAAATATATATATATGTATATATATATATGTATATATATATATATGTGTATATATATATATGTGTATATATATATATATGTGTATATATATATATATGTGTATATATATATATATGTGTATATATATATATATGTGTATATATATATATATGTATATATATATATATGAATATATGTATATATGAATATATGTATGTATATATATATGAATATATGTATGTATATATATATGAATATATGTATGTGTATATATATATATATATATATATATATATATATATATATATATATATATATATATATATATATATATATATATATATATATATATATATATATATATATATGTATAGGGATTGATTTGAATACATAGGGGTCTTCCCATGAAAAGTAAGAAGTGATCTAAGCTCTTGATCACTTCAAAATGAACGGAGTGGATCAAAAATCACGTTAGGAAATACTAAACCGAAATGTGCAATACTTAATACTAAAAGTGTATATACGATATGTAAATGTGCATACTTACTTCATTAAAAATAGTTACAATTCGATTTTTATACTTCTTATTTTATTTCGAAGCGTGATGCACTTTTACTATCTTGTATTGCACTTTTTCAACACAACGATTCACTTTTACTTTAGCGGATCCAATAAAAGTTGTGCATAATTACCATATTGCCACCACGTTTCTGCTTTTAAATTTGATCTGATCCTTCCCTTTTATCAATTTAAAGGCCTAGATTAGTTCTTATTTTTCACCTAGGGATCAATTTTTATTTGAACCAATCCATGTATGTATATATATGTATATATATAAATATAGATAGATTTAGGTTCATGTGAGAATTTAATCTTAGGAGAGCAAAAAAGATTAGATATGAACCATTGGATTCACTTCTAATTCGATCGTGACATTAACTGCCATTAAGGGTATTCACATCACTTCTAATTCTACTGATTCCTATAATATCGTTTCATTATTCCTTCCTTCACTGTTTTCCGCCATTCTTTTCTAACATGTTTCTTTACTAACATGTTTCCCCTACGCATTGCTTCTCTCCTTCGCGATGGTCATGCTTTTTTCTTCATGAACGGATTGTTTTTCTCGAAATATTGGCTATGATTTTCCTTCTCAAGCTTGTTTTATTCCGCTGTAGTTTGTTGCTCCATCCTAACATCTTCCATGGATTTCGGTTAGTATTATTTCCCTGTTGAAGTTCATGGAGTTTGAATTCATCTTAGAATTAATTTTACTATATAGATTTATATACACACATTGAATTCATCATACGCTGAAATCATCTTTTTAGTATTTTAATTAGTTAATTCTAATTAATTGTTCTTGCACTTATCATACTTTGATGATGCACTTGCAGTTTTTAATTTTTTACTTTTTTTTGCATATATGATGTAGTGTCGGGTGGAACAATTATGATCAATTTGGAAGAAAAAGTGCACTGAATTTTATAAAAAGTGCCAATGTAACGTTGTAAAAAGTGTGATATAATACTATAATAGTGCACTTTTGTATATATCTCAAATGCACATGATAAAAGTGCACTTCATTTTGAAAAATTGTGTGCGTTAAACATTGGAAAGTGTGATATAATAGTGGACTTTATGATAATTGTAAGTTACACCATTGTATATTTATCTTTATTTTTATTAAAGTCATTTTTATTTAAAACATGTATGGAGTGCACAAGTACATGAGTAAAGTGTAGGTTAATGTTACATAAAGTGCAATGAAACTATATAAAAGTAAACATGACAACCATGTATATTAACTTAACTAACGTGCTATTTCTTTCTATATTTTTTACTTTGATGAATGTAGTTGGTTATCTAAACAGACTAAACTACTAATGGTGCAAAAATATCCAAATATTCATGCAATTGAATTGATGTTGCATAATGTTTCAAATAAAAGTGCAGCTATTCAATGTAGGAGTGCAAATTAGCAAACGTAAGTTGATGAATTGTTTTTTAAATCAAATTGGTGATTTGAATTAAATGTGAGAGTAGTCTAATTAATTAATGTTGACTTGCACGGTTACCTTATGTATTACTTTAATGATCCGAAAGTCTTGCACATATTTCTCTATTTCGAAAAAACCTATGCCATTAGATTGGATTAGTTGATGGTTAGATTTCACTCTTTTTACTCTTCTGGGAGACCATTTTCACCTGAACCTTCCCATATATATATATATACACACACTTTAATTTATAATTGTAGCAATTAGTTAACTATTAGTATAAACTATCAAATATATACGATACTTAATAAATCAATGTCAATATAATTAATGTAAGCAATAAGATAATATACTTAATACTTCTATAATAAAATATTCCCTCCGTCTCGTTGGAATGTTCCCGGTTTGACCTACACATATATTAAGGAAATAAACTTACCAGGGGGTAAATTTTACTGTTTTGACACTGTTTCGACACTGTTTGGCACTGTTTCAACACCGTTTTACACTGTTTTGCACTGTTTAACTCTGTTTTGATGTAGGATAACTTTCCATTTAGGGAAATGAGAACTTTCCAATGGGACATCCAAAAAATGAAATCAGGAACATTCCAATGGGAGTAGGGATGGACCCGGGCCGGTCAAGTTCCGGTTCCGGGCCGGACCCGGGCGTAGGGATGGATTCGGTTCGGGCCACCCGGCCCGATCGGGCGGTCCGGGACCGGGTCTGGGCCCGAACCGGGGGGAAGGGCCGGGCCCGGGTCCGGTCCGATCAATTTTTAAAAAAAAAAAAATTGGGTTGGGCTCCTACTAGCCGTTGGGGGTGGGGCTGGGGACAACCCAAACGGCTATATAGCCGTTGGGTGGGTTATAGGGGGGGTCCGGGGGGTTGGGTGGGGGGGGTGGGGGGGGTGTGGGGGTAAAAAAACCAATAAATACTCCTAATCTTAAACATTTTTTCATATCTCTTCTCCAATTCTTCCTAAATCCTATCCTTAACTCTCTACTCTCTAATTCTCATATTCTCCATTCTCCAATATATTATATTTATTATTTATAGTTTATATTAATTATCTAATTATAAATAGATATAAATAGTATTATACTACCTCCGTCCCGGTGGACTTTGCCAAGCGCAAAGTAGGTGAGAAATATGAATAGTAAAAACTATGTGGTTGAGATTTGTGCAGAGGAGAGAGAACTGTGCAGAACCACAAATTAGTTACTTTAATAGAAAAGTGGCAAAGTTTTTTGGGACAATCAAAAAAGGAAAGTTGGCAAAGTCCAACGGGACGGAGGGAGTATTACTTATATTTGTTATCTAATTATATATTACTTATATATTTATTATATCTATTAATATAGTTAGAATTATATCTAATTAATTTAAAGTATAAAACTATAATTGTATAAAATATAAAATATAAAGTATAAAATATAAATTTAAAAAAAAAATTACCCGGCCCGACCCGGCCCGGCCCGGTGGGTGGCCCGACCCGTGACCCGGGCGGGTGGCCCGGCCCGAACCGGACCCGTCCAACCCTCGGGCCGGTCCCGGGCCCACTATTCTAGAACCGGCGGCCCGACCGGGCCTAGGCCCGGCCCGAATCCATCCCTGCCCGAGCGGGCTTTTTTTGCAAGTACTTGGGCCCGGAACCGGCCCGGGTTGATACCGGGTCCGGGCCTAACCGGGCCGGGCCGAGCCCGTTTCAATGTCTAATTTTTTTTTTTTTGGCTTTCTTGTTATCCCCCGACCCCCCCCCCCTCACCCCCACCCCAAACCTCCCTAAAACACCCAGCCCTACCCTAGGAAAAGAAAAAAAAATTGAAAAATATATATATATATATGACCCGAGGCCGGCCTGCCCGACCCGTCCAAACGGGCTAAAAGCCCGGAACCGGCCAACCGGTCCCGGTCCGGTCCGGACCCGCACAGTAGCGGTTTTGAGCCGATTTCAGGCCGGGCCGGCCCGATTTAGTCCATCCCTAAACGGGACGGAGAGAGTATAATGTTAATAGTATATTATATATAACTATACTACTAAAAAAATAGTAGTGCAATTATATTTAATATACTCTAATATACTTCCTCAGTTCTTTTTTAATTGCAACATTCACTTTTTCACGTTTGCCAACGTATAACTTTGACCGTCATTATATTTAATTATGTATTAGTAAAAAATAATCAAAAATCAGATAATGAAACTTTTTAATGAAACAAATTCAATAATATTTTTCAAAAAAAAAATCACATACATTAATAAATAAAATATAGTCAAAGTAGACTACATGAATAGTGTGTAATTTGCAATGTTGCAACTAATACGATATGCAGGATAGTATATACTTAATATTGTATATTTAAATATAAGTATTATATTATTTAAATACAAATAGATATAAATATATATAATTATGATGTAGATAGAAATTAGAATTAGAGAATAAGAGTAGAGAGTAGGGAGAATTAATGAAAATGGAGTAGGAGAGTATATGTTTGAAATTTTTACAAATATGAGCTATTTCTGGGGATTTTTTAACACCCCTCCCTCCTAGAAAGCAAAAAAATTACAAAAAAATTACAAAAAATTACAAACATTAAATTACCAAACCGGGACCACACGGTCCCCATTTTTTACACCCGAAACCGGGGCCACCAAATACCCGGTCATGTAGTCTTCTATAACATAAATTGCGGGTATGCATGTCGCCGTTGTTACGACACATCATGTCTCGAGGCACGGTTCTCAAAAAGTACCATTTGGAATTCTTAAACCTAACTGATGGGTTACATGTTCTGAACACCACCACCACCTAAGTAAAACCTATATTTACATGATAAATTTGCACACCTCTAGGGCGGATGGTTATAACTAATCACTTTTTCTTATAATTCCAGTGGGAACACCATAGCAAACTGGGGATGCCCCATTCAAATATCGAAGGATGCATGCCTTTCGAGCTTCCCCCATGAATGACCCAATTCTCGGCCTATGCCTACAACATTTATTATGCATATCCCTCCTCTTTCTATTTCCCCGACCTCCTTTTATATCCATGGACTTTAACTCCTTCGAAATTTCACTACATTGGTCACAGTCTCCATTAAAGTTGGACCTTTCTCTTAACCACCCTTCCAGCAATGTCTTGCCGAACCTGTCAATGTCTTTGTCGGTCACTTCCCAAAGATTGGCAACTATGATTGGAGAGCCTGCTGAGAGGTAACTTAAGGGGGCGCCCTGAGGAATGTAGGACTTGTTGCCTTTAAGTGATCCGCTGCTGCATCCCATTAGTAGGCAAGCCGAGCAAGTTTCTAGATCTTTTTTTTTGTCTGCAGGGATGTATTGCATGCCTGAAATAATAACTTATATATAATAAAACACAACACTAGCCAGTCCTAGGACTAGAATTAATAGGCAAAACAAAAGAAAGGTTCACTAGAGAAAAATGGATGGAAGGTTTTGGAGGGGTTTGGCCCTTGATGAATAAAATGTTATATGATTACCGTTTATGTTATACTACTATATGAAACGGTGGGTCGATGAAATGTCATATGATTACCATTTATGTTACTCCATGTTTTACTTTTATAAAGTTGCCCCTTGGGATATGTTTCGGAGTTTGGAGGGGTGATTATTTTATCCAATAAAATAGTGCTTTAATGTGATAATATTTTAAAATAATAACTAGTACAAAAACACATTGTCCTATCGATGTTCTCATTTAGTATCTCATGTAATTTCTAATGCAGTTCTCTTCGTTTAAATTTCAAACTAACCCCCATCAACAACCTCCAAATCCGACTCACCATCAAATCCTTAAGATATGCTTGGTTAAAAGGGAGGTCTGTATTTGACATGTATTTGAGATTTTAAAAAACTGATAGATTAGCATAATATGTGGATGATAGTATAACATTTCAATCACCTTTTTATTTGTTTGTAAAAACCATTCTATTTATCAAGATATAGACAAAGCCTCTAAAGCTTTCCTCCAAAACCTTTTTAGGTTATGGTTGGATGGAGGATGTTGGAGGGTTTTAAAAGACTTAATTATAATTTGGAAGAATTTCAAATAAGCCCTTTTACTATTGTAAATACATTACCTAAACATATATACATTATAAAGTGTCAAATAAATCTGTGTACTTGCAAAAATAATCATTCAAACCTATGTTATGAGAACCAGACCGGATCAGGCAGTTAAACTTGGCAACCCAGCCCTGGAACTGGTCCAGTTGAATGCAGACCCGCTAATATGGTTAAAACCGGAATTAACCGGTGGACCGCCACAACCCAGTCCTGGACCCGGACCGGTGAAAACTCGGAAAAAAACAATAGCCTGTTTGTTTAAGAAATTTCTTCACTAAAATTTAGTCACCAACGGGTTTCGAACCCTAGTCTATGTTCTTAATTAAATGCAACATGTGGAATTTTACACTATTCACATGTTCCACTTAAACTACGTTTTATTTATTAATGTACTAATAAATTTTTTTTAAAAATCTATTGTTAAAGTTGTTCTATCCTAAATTTTCAAAATCTGATTTTTTTTTAATTTTTTTACTAAAAAAGAATTAAATATACTAATGGTCAAAGTTTGTGCATTGACAAATTGACAAACGTGAAAAGTTGACCTTGCATTTATTTATAAACTATACGTATTTATGAAATGTCCATTAAATCTATCAATCCATGAAATATACTTAACTAATAGTCCTCCTTAGTTTTTTTGTGGTTTTTAAGAAGAAAATAGTAGGGGTAGTATAGAGGGTGTAAGGTAAATGAAAAAGTAGGAAAGAGAATATGTTAAGAAGAGTAAAGTAATGAAAAAGTAGGAAAGAGAAAGTAGTATGCAAAAAGTAAAAAGGGGTAAGGGTAATAAAAGTGAGGGTAAAGGTATTTTGATTGAAAAAACTTACTAAAAAGAGTAAAATAGACAAATAATAAAAAGCATCTCAAAAAGGAATACAAGAAAGTTATTAGAGAACAAAGGGAGTATTTCTAATTTTCTATATAAATATTATATTCCAATATTTTCCATCAAATTCCAAACACGTCTTTACTTTTATGAATTTTTTTATATATTGGTACATCAATTTTTAATTTAATCGTATAATCATTTTTAAATTTTGAATGATAGAAATTTTTACCTATACATTTTTTATAGCTTTATCATACCTCTGTCCCAAAAAACTTTTTCATTTTCAAAACTTTGAGCAACTATATCTTTGTATTGGAAACTACTTATAATATAAAAATTATATGAAAATGTTCTTTGTTAGAAGTACTTTTATAAAAGTATAAAACTTACTCTCTCTCTCCCCCTTAAAACTTGGGAGAGAGAATTAGTAGAGAGAATTAACTGGAACTACAAATTCTTTACTTAACAGGGAAAGTGACAAAGTTAATGGCACCACCAAAAAAGAAACTTAACAAAGTTTTAAGGCAAGGAGGGAGTATAACTTTCATAATATTATACTAATCCATACTACCTCCGTAACAGATATATCTTCCCATTTGAAAAGTAGGTGAGATTAAGAATAGTGAAAGGAGATAAAAATTATTGGGGTATGATGGGAAGATAATAAAATAGTGTGCTAGAATGAAGGATAAATCCAAAAAAGTAGTTGTAATAGTGTATTATTTTTAAAATTATTGAGCGTATGATAGGAAGATTTACAAATGGGAAGATATGAATGTTACGGCTAAAAAAGGAAAGTGGGAAGATATGAGTGTTGCAGAGGGAGTATTATGGTTCAAATTTTATAAAATGGGAATTTTTTTGGGACAGAGGTAATATATTATATATTTTATTTTTCAATAAACATTGACCAGGTTGGCCCGACATTGACCGGGCTGACCCTCTGAGGTCCGTGTAGACCCGTGACCCGGTCGCTCACTCGGCTTGCCTCAAGTCCGGTTTTGACAACATAGATTCACTATTCTACTATTCATTTAGTTTCATTTATCTTTTCCTTTCTCTTTCTTTTCTCTATATTTTTGTTTTTTTTCTGTCTTGTGGTTTAACCGTTGGTTCGTCTTCTACCTGCATCTTACCGCTTTCTTCTCTTTTTATTTTCTTATTTTTCATTCTCTTTGTTTTTCTCTTCAGCCTGCCATGTGTTCCCTCTTTTACTCTATCTTTTTTCCCTAACTTTTTTTCTTTCTTCTTGTTTCTTTGTTCTTCTACGATTCTACCCTGCATTATCTCCATTTCTTTTTTTGATCTTCTACTTTAAAAATCAATTCAAAACCCTATATATCGAGATATTTCTTCCTTTATCGGTTTCAATTAGTTTGCATTTGTTGTTATAATTTCATAGATTATGTATGTCAATTCTTAGTATTCAATGGGATTTAATTAATTCTTTAACCATTTAACCCTCTAATGTTGATCTGGTAACTGCTATTGAATTAAAAAAAAGTATTTTGATTTTGTGCCGGAGAAAAAGCTCGTAAGAAAGATAAGACGGAAAGAAAAAAACTCAGAAAAGAAAGGAGAAAAGAAAGAAGAAAGAGAAAAGAAAAGCAAAAAGAAAGAGAAAGTGACATGTGAGTAAAAAGATGACTTGGATGTGTTAAAATTGCAACTGTGACTTATACCTGCTAAATCAAGTGATATGAGTCAAATGAATGTTTTGTAGAGTAGTTGGAATTAAATAACTCGTTTTTGAATTTAGATGATGTGTTCTAAGTAGTAGAATGGCTTATTTGACCAATTTTCCTTACCGTTTTTGGATAAATAAAAAGTTGCTAAACATAAAAATGGTGTTAGAAATATTGTAATATTGTAACATAATATGCTACCTTGATATGGTCGTGTATCATGCTAAGCCATACAAAAAGGATGAGAGATTATTATTAGAGAAAATGATCAATCACACTTTTTTACTATTTCAAATCTATCACTTAAGCTCCTACATTAAAAAAAGAAATGCTAGTAATACATATTTATGACAAATTAAGATTGTTTACAAAATGTGACTTGTGAATAGAACGGTAATGAAATTATAGTAACTTATATTCAATTTTAAAATTTAAATTACCATGACACTACATTGTAGTAACTGTTGGGCTGTAGGCTTCGGCCCATTCAGATCTGGGAGCCAAATGAAAAGAGCAGCAGCCTGCTCTAGTTAAATGTGCAGCCCTAGTTGGGCCTGTTTCTTTGGTGGCAGTCAGGCCCATAACCTTATTAAGTGTTTTACCCTAATTGTTTGCCTATATATATTGACTCATGTACTTGTAAACTATGACGTGTATAGTTGTATCATTCATCATCTCAATTAGAAAGAAAACCCTAGTTGCCCCGGTGGATTAGGTCAGTAACACTTACTGGCTGAACCACGTTATATCCGTGTGCCGTTCTTCTCGTTCTTTTCTAGTTTTTCAGATTCGTGCGTGTGTGAGATCTAACCCTAACAACTGGTATCAGAGCAAGGTTAGCCACCACCACATATTCGACCGCCACCACTGCTGCCGTCCTGCGTCTTCAGCCTCCTCGTGCCACCAACAGTGCACTGCCGCAGAAGAATATAGCCGGCAGATTGTGAAGGACTGGGACAATGGCAGATAACGGAAAAACTAAAGTTGAGAAGTTTGATGGACAAGATTTTGGATGGTGGAAGATGCAAATTGAGGATTTGCTGTGTCAGAAGGATTTGGATCAAGCCTTGACATGGAAAAGACCAGAAAAGATGAGTGATGATGAATGGGCTGCTCTAGACAGGAAAACTTTGGCTGTTATCAGATTACCCTAGCCAAGAGTGTGGCGTTTAACATCTTGAAGGAGACTACTGCATGTGGTTTGATGAAGGCTTTGTCAAACATGTATGAGAAATCATCGGCATCAAACAAGGTATTTCTGATAAGACAGCTAGTAAACACCAGAATGAAAGAAGGTGCATCTGTTACCTCACACATTAATGAGTTTAACACTACCATATCCCGTTTACTATCTGTTGATATTAAGTATGAAGATGAAGTCCAAGCTTTATTCTTGTTATCCTCGTTACCAGAAAGTTGGTCAGGAACAGTCACTGCGATTAGTTGTTCAACTGGAACCTCTAAACTCACATTTGAGGGCATTCGTGACATTATCCTAGGAGAGGATATAAGGAGGAGTTTTGGAGAATCTTCTAGTGCTTGTTAAGTACTGAAGGGAGAGGTAGAAACAAAGAGAAGGGAAATGGCAGAGGTAGATCAAAGTCTAGAAAGAGAGCCAGTCAAAACCGAGAAAAGATATTCAATGCTGGAACTGCAAAGAAACTGGGCATTTCAGAAATCAATGCCCTAAATCTTCATAAAGGAAGGAAGTAAATGCAGCCACCGACGATTCAGATGATGCCCT